ATTTTGTTAAAAGAAATTTATCCTATTCCGGCAACGCAAATAAGATTGGATGAGTGAGTTTTCAGTTGATGTTATATATCACTTTTCATCAAAAATTGTACAGATAATGTATTAATTTTGTAAGACAAAGCAAGCCGAAAAGATGTCTGCAAGGGTTTGGGCACTAATAATGACTACTTGTGCCAGACACCTTCCAGATCGATCCCGACTCGCTGTGCCAAAGGCGTAATACTCGTGCAGAGAAAAATGCTTGTGCTGCAACTGTTATGAGACTAAGAACGAGAGCCTGCTTGCATGGCTGTAAATAATGCACGAATTTCTTTGCATCGAGATTTGTTTACCTCGACCAAACGTTGACTTCCCAGAAGATTTCATAATCGTCAACCCCTTCGTCAACTGTTGGGTGTGCTCCGTCCATCCACCCGGCCCGGCAAGTCAGTTCCACATTCATGATGCGGCAGGTAGTTTGTAGGGATACTCTTCCAGCTCCAACCGACATTCCACGAGGTAGCTCTTCTTTTCCACTGTTTCCACTGGAATTTAGAATGTTTGTTCTTGTGGAGGAAGGAAAACCGGAGGACCCGGAGAAAAACTCTCGGAGCAACGACAAGAACCAACAACAAACTCAACCCACATGTCTAATATCACTTTGATTCACAACATAGTAATTATGATTTTCAATGGGATTGCGAGTCAGAGCAACGCCCCAAGGGCCATATCATAATAGTTATTATTTTCCTTCTGTGGCTCACTTCAGTTTAGGAAATTTAATCATCAGGCCTCCTTTAATATTCTAAATGATAATTCTTTAAAAGGACGAACTGTTTTAAAGTTAAGTTTCATTCTTGACGTGCTTGCGATACCTGAATTAGTTCAACAGCAGGTTAAACAAACGACTACAGATCAAGGTATAATGATATACAGTATCCTTAAAAACAAGATTTGTGTTTCAGCCTCTAGCTTTTTCCGCAGTACCGGCTGTGACAAACTTGGACCGGTTTCAGTCTGTATACAAAGAAAGAGCTGCAATTCCGTACGTTGATCATAATGTGGTTGTAACAGCATTTACCAAATCCACTAAAACAAACTTTTCTGGAAACGACTCCTTCATCAACTGTTGGGTGTGCTCCGTCCATCCACCCCGGCAAGTCCGTTCCACATCTATGGTGCGGTAGACAGTGAGTAGGTATACTCGTTCCAGCCCCCGCTGAGAATCTGTACCAGTCTTCTGTCAAATGGTTGTCACATTTTCTGTCACCGCGACCAAAATCGCTATGTCGATCGGAGTCATTCAGAATCTTGTGCTGATTGCATTCTGAGGGAACTAAAAATGAAAATGTATTGGAATACTCACGCATGTGGCTTCATAAAAGGCGAAATGTTCTAATATCTCATAAAATATAGTGTAAGCTCTAGCTTTTAGCTGAGGCAGCTAAAAATGAAAATGCATTGGATATATTTTATTTTTATAAAAGATGGCGGAGGCGAGGACATTGGCAAAGAAAACTTTTTTTTCGAAGGGGGGGTGGAAGGAATTTCCTCATATTCACAGTCGCTCAAAACCCTGTATTGATGACGTTCTGAGATACTTGGACATTAAAGGTCCTTCGAAACATTCATGCATCTGATGATATAAGGAGAGTAAAAATTTAAACAACTGCCTCGGGGAATAATTGTACCAGAGGACGACAACAGTAAAGACAACAATATATCTGTTATTCCATTACTGCATCATCAAATAAATTCATGAGGACGCGCACAAAACTTGATATGCCCCAAGCAATGGCCAAGGCTTCACGCTCTATCTGGGAATAGCGCTTCTCCACACTTGAAAGAGCTTTGCTGCCTTATGAATTGACTTTGCCAGCCTGAGTTAAGACAGCACCCAATCCGACAGGGCTAGCGTCCACCAGTAGGACTGTTTTCTTTCGTGGGTCAAATCAACTCACTATGATTCTGTTTCGATTGCAGAAAGTTGCCGACATTCTTTTTGTGGTCGAAGTACTCGGTGAGTTTCTCTTTCGCCGTTTCAAAATCATCTCCGTTCTGCGGCAAAGTTTCGAAGATGTCACACACCTCTTCTTCAGCATAATAAAGTAAAAAAGCTCTTTGCCTCGTTTTGTCCTCGATATCAGTAGCAACTAACAGATTTTCGAGCCGCTTGATCCATTTTCGCCATCGTCGAGCGATTGCACCATCTGCGTGTATATCGAACGAATCGAAGCTTGGAAGACAAGAAGCCATCACAAAGACTGCGGAGACTGACCTGAAACGACGGGCCGTCCTCGTTGCCAATGTAATGTGGAGAACGAACACGAAAGTAATTAGCAGTAAACGGCCGTTACGAACCTATGGTCTGCTCTCTATTTTAATCCCAGAATTCCCTTGTTTAAATTACATGCATGACGTAAATTGACGCTAGTGTCACACGACACTACAATCGAAATATACCTGGAGATGGACAGATGCTCCGTTTACGACTGAGACCGAAGCCTCCGTTTTCATCTGCCCACACTAAAAAGGAGCGTTTTAAAACCGTGCGTTTTCTAAAGACTCCACTTTTGAAATTGCTTTCGAAATTTCCCGTTTGTATCAAAGTATTCGGGCGTCTGGATGACCGGCGAATACACGTCAAAAAGTATGCGTTTTCAAACAAAAACGCAGTGGTGTGGCACGGGCCTAAATTTACCATGGTCAGTCTAATTATATGAAATAATTATTTGTAAAAACTGAAAATGTGAGTTACCGTATTCACATAAAGGTCCAGTGAGGCCAGCAGCACAAGGAAGGTGATGTCTCTGACAGAAAAATACAAATGAAAAATTGCACCGTTAATTCACAACTTTAAGTCGGTAGCTAAAAATATCATAAACGAAATATGTTCTTCCCGCCAAACTATTGTGCTTCTGAAACGAAACCCTGCAAAAATGAAAACATGTAAAAGTTACGGTTTTAAAATTTGGACTAAGAAACACGTGAAAGGAAATCAAGAGATTGAAAGGGATAGACTTAAAATTCTAAGTAAACCGTCAGATACTGTAGAAAAAGAATATGCAAAAAATCCCTTTCCGTCAAGTATTTATGGCAGCCATTTCCAGCTGCATTACAAAAATTGATAACAGGAAAACTTTCTAGCTTCTGATACGTTATGCAAGGCTTAAACTAAAGAACTATGTACCTTCACGAGCAAAGAGAGTGTCACCCCTTTTTCATCATCAAGATTTGTTTTCTGATTGATGTATCCATGTTTGTTTAGTTCACAAATTCCTTTCTTGTTCACCTCGGATAGCTCTCTGAAGTTTGTTGAAGTACACCAGGAGTTTCTGAGGCACCAGTGATTGCATGACATAATACTGGGCGATAGAAACTGTTTAACGACATGGCCATTAAGCCGAGTATTTTCTCGCGTCTTAAAGAGAGCCGAATTAGTACAACTGGCGTGTTTTGTAAACATTATTCCTTGAACAAGGATAAAAAAGACAATTTTCCTTTCACCCATTACTCGACAAAACATGCGCAAAATGAATCGTGACTTGGGGTGAATTCAAGAATATTTTTTAGTCCTTCACCAAGTAAAACTCAAGTTGAAATGCGAGGTGGAAATTTGTCGATTCTTGCTAACAGGTGATAACAATCTTACGTCTGGGGAAATTAAGAGTGACGCTTGACCACATAGAGGCGTTTTAACAACAATATCCTTGACATGCAATGTTTTCAAATAAATGTATAAGTTTATTCATCCCACGTTTAAGTTTTGTATTCAGCTTCTTGTCGTCAAGTAGCGCTATTGTCTTTCAATTACGGTATGTTTTTTCTCATCAAGTATATTTCACAAAGAGACTCGAAAAAGCAAGAAGGAATGGAGTCTCTTATTTAAGAAGAGCTGATGATGGAGAGCTTAAAAGCACTTTGCAAACCTCTTTGTTAATAATAATAATTATAACATTAATAAAATGATAACAATAATAAATAATGGGAATTTAGCAGTAGATATTCCACGAGGTGGCTCTTCTTTTCCACTGTTCCCATCTGAATTTAGAATGTTTGTTTTTATGGAGGAAGGAAAACCGGAGGACCCGGGGAAAAACTCTCGAAGCGACGACAATTCAAGAACCAACAACAAACTCAACCCACATGTCTAACATAACTTTACCATTATTTGTTTTAGTCACAATACGAGACTCGTGATTTATTGAAGAACAAAACTAATTTCTGGCTCACGTCAACCCGTTGGGCCCCACACACGTCAGCTTTTATTATGGTTTTCGATGGCATCGTGAGTCAGAGCGATGCCATATCAAAAAAGTCATTATTTTTCTTCTGTGGCTCACTTCAGTAAGAAAACTGACCTTTTGTTTTGCTGACAGAAAACAACAGTTCGACAGCCAGCTCTTTGCATGCCACCCGTTAAACGCTTTTGTTTGCTTATGTCTTCTTGTGAAAAAGCCACCCTCTGAGAAAATATATCAACGTTATTGAATAATTGGAAGCGTAGCTTCACAACAATCCTACATAAGAGACTCCTGCTCCATGCAAAAGCCGATTCCAAACTCTTGGCAATTTTTTGCATTTAATAAGAAATTGGAATAGAAATAGCACGTGTCCTCAAAGCAGGTGTAATACATTCTCTGTAAATTTTGGTCAAATCGACTTCAAAGGGTTACAGACATGTTCAAATTATTCTCAGGCATTTTTTTGATAAGCATTCGGTGTGGAAAGGACAAGTCAAAGAGGGCGCTAAGAGAAGGGAGATGAAATTTATCTCACACACTTACAGAATTCTACCTTAAAGAACTATCAATTTGTTTAGACATGAAAGTTATGTCATGATAGATGATTTACTGATTGTGTCAACTGTAAACTAAAGTAACCGGAGCAAAATATAATAAATGCTGAATGACATTTCTCATGACGTTTACTCTTTTTATTATGCAAAGCCTTGATTTAGCCCTCTAAATATGCTAAATATATAAAGCTTTTCAATAATTAAATACCGCCAAAAGAGTTTCCTGTTGCCCTCTCTAGTTGTAAAAATTTTTGCGTCAAGTCGAAACTGCGAGGCATCGATCGCCAGCCATCACGCACTCATACGCACTTATTTCTTCTTATCACGCACGAGAATGCAGTTTGCGTGAGGTTCATTCCATTGAAAGTTCTGGGCTTAGAATAAAGAAATGGGAAGAGAAGAGAGAAAATACAGCTCTGATTCAAACTATCGAGCGTAAACCGTTCTATTCAGCTTTTTTGTTTTGTTTTCAGGAATGCTTTAGAGCCTTGAAATTATACCTTGCGGCAGTTAAAAGTCTAAGATAGTCGTCTAAGACAGCCAACAATAAGTGAGGATTTTGTCTCCATAGTTTAAATGTCATTTAGGACAAACCGAAGTTTGTCCATAAACTTCTAACTTTTCCCACAGTACCGGCTATTACAATATGAAAGTGGTTTCAATCTGTATACAAAGAAAGAGCTGCAATTCCGTACGTTGATCGTAACGTTGCGGTAACAACACTTGTGATAGCCACTAAAACAAACTTTTCTGGAAACGACTCCTTCATCAACTGTTGGGTGTGCTCCGTCCATCCACCCCGGCAAGTCCGTTCCACATCTTTGGGCGCCTGGAATGCATTGTGTGGCTATGCTTGTTCCAGCCCCCGCCGAGAATCTGTACCAGTCTTCTGTCAAATTTCTATCACATTTTTGGTCACCGCGACCAAAATCGTTGCGTCGATCGGAGTCATTCAGAAACTTGTACTGATTGCATTCTGAGACAGCTAAAATTAAAAATGTATCGGAATACTCAAGCATATGACTTTATCAAAGGCGAAATGTTCTGATATCTCATAAAAGATGGCGAAAGCGAGGACATGGGCACCAAAACATTTTTTTTTTGGGGGGGGGGGGGATTTGAAAAAAAATGGGTTTATATTTCCTTCAGATTCAGAGTCGCTCAAAACCTTGTGCTAATGACGTTTTGAGATACTTGAACATTAAAGGTCCTTCGAAACATTCATGCACCTGATGATATCAAGAGTGTTAAGTTTTAAACAACTCCCCTTGTGAACAGCACTGGGGAATAATTGTGCCAGAGGAAAACAACAATAAAGACAACAATATATCTGTGAGTGCACTTATTATTCCATTACTACGTCAATTTATCAAATAAGTTCATAAGGACACGGAAAATATGCCACGGTAATGGACGATATTACACTGTAAAACTGAGCAAAAATACAGAGCAACAAAGTGGTCCTAATGAACGATCCAAACTTTTGAAGAACCGAACTTTTACATGCGACAGATTTTTTCGTTGGCCATATAGAACTCTTAAATGGTTTCATCCGTGTTTTTTTCGTCTTTCGTGTACTCCATATGCGATCGATACGATGCAGAGATAAAGCCGTACGATATATTTCGGAATCTAAAATCTAAATAGTGAAAAGTGAAATAATAGTGGGATAATAAATCTCTTATTCAATGGTTTAACATATAACACGAGCGGACATTTGGCTCATTGCTCGTATTTTTCTACACAACTTCTACATAAAATACTAGACTAGCAAAATATCTGCGCGTACTCTAAGTTAAAACATCGAATAAGGTGTATTTATAAAAAGTCAAAGCAGTTATTCTATTTTTCTTTTTATGGAACATACATTTAGACAATATGGACACTATTTACCCTCGATCCCGCGTGTAACATAGAGCATGCGCTAAAAATGGTCGAGAGAACACTTAACGTTTCCAAAAGCTTTATTTTCGGCCACTCATTCAAGTAAGGGGTCAAATAAGTACAGAAGATTCCCTGCTGCAAATCCTAACCCGAGAACCTTTACGTACGGACATGAAGAACTATTTAAAAATATTCCGTTCGCTCTTAAAGAACGAACCTAAGAATCACCAACCTATATCACACAGAGTTCCACGGTACCCCCCAGGGCAGTCACACTTGAATCCATTGACAAGATCTCGGCATGATCCTCCATTGTGACAAGGGTTAGCGCTGCAATCGTCTACATCTGCAATTCCAATTGTGATTGGCTTAGCTGAGCATAATTCCCTACCTTACGTGTCGCTCCAATATTTTGTTGGGGAATAAACACTACATGAAATGTTCAATCACTCGCAAGACAAGGGACCTAAGAGGGTTGAAGGACTTTTAAGAACAAGAAAAACTCGTTATATGGAATTAGTTATTGCAAGATACCCCCAGTGACAGTGAAACGGGTGTAATCAAAATTTAGCTGGAGATGGATTTTAGAATAAATGAGGCCGAGGGGCGATCAGTCTTTTGACTTCATTCGCTTTTGCTGCAAGAAATTATTTTATTTCTCCTTTTTTTCTGTTTTTTTTTATTGTTTTCTGTACTGTTGCAGCTGACTATGGAATTAGGAACTATTCCTGCTCTCTCTTACTTCCTTGAGCTCTTGAGGTACAAGTGACAAATTCTTAGTTTTGTTAGACGTTTTGAAAGACTGATCAAAAATGAGCTAAAATGGTCATGGGCTGAAGAGGATAACTTGGATTTCAGATGGTGTTATCCAGTTCCTTTCAAATATCTTACCTGTTTCGCATTTTAACCCAGTAAAGCCTGCAGCACAAAGGCATCGGTACCCGTGTGGTAAAAACCCAGATTGACATGTCCCACCATTCATACAAGGCGTGGTTCCACATGAGTTCTGGGAAATGATAAATGGAAAAAAACATTTAAATCAGACTGAAGGAGACAGGAGGATTATGGGAAAGTACGAAAAGAATCTATGAACGTAATTCTTTCTGGAATGATAAAAGGTTAAGGTTTGCGAGCTGTAGCTCATAATTGCCATAGCTTTTCTCAGTTTCCCTTGAATGAAGCGACGTAAAGAACTGCAGCTCTTCATCGGAATATGAACTACATATATAGGAACTACAATATTGAACCGCTCTAATGAGACATCATTTAGCCCCTTTGTAAAATCATATATGGTCCGACTGCTAAGACTTTGTATCTGTTTCTTTCATTGAAGGGAAACTTGTGTTGAAGTGACATCAATTCTAGCCCTGAAACTGTCCTTTGAATAAAGCGACAAACTATTATAGAAGGGGGCTTCTATGATAGTTCTATGAGAGGGTCCCAATGGGGTGGTGGCATTTATGGCTAACGATAGAAATTTTGGCCATTTTACCGCTAATGGTTGATAACTCCATTACTATACATTAAACTTATTATGAAAACTCTGATTGGACGACAGCATACATTCAATTTACAATGACGAATGAAGTTGACATTATCATGTTGATTTCAAAGTCTGCCTTGCTTCTAAGCCCGTCGTCCGCGTTCTTTTTCAGATTGTTTAAAAAAATATGTAATAAAACAATTATTTCAACAGTTAAAGTTTCTTTACGACTAACGATTAGAGTTTGCCAATATTTACGCCTATTTTTAAGGCTAAACTTTTTAGCCGCTTTACGGCTAACGGTTATCCCTATAGAGATCCTTTTCTAGGTGCAAAAATTGTAAAATTAAAGGAAACTTTTGTATACCTCAGCTCCGCGGTAAATGAAATTCACTCTCGGCTTTAAATCATCCGGATGTTGTATGTCTGTCGAATTGTTTAATTCACAGACCTCATCTCCTGTTACTCTCTTTCCAAAGTTGTACGATACGCATGCGTTCTCCAGATAACACTGAACTCTGCACGAATGCTCCGAGTTTAAGGCAATTGTTCTCATAACGTGTTTTTCCAGCGCTGAGCCATCTTTGGCATCCAAAAACTGCAGTATTCGGTAATAATCTGCAATAAAAAAATATGTTTTGAAAATAAGACATCGATAAGATCTCGCTATCAATTATTTAACGGCAGGTTGTTTCGTCTTGTTATAGATTATAACGGATGTTCTTTCAAAAATTTGGAAGAAAAAACGGACTGGAAAACACATCGGCTGAGATACGCGCTGAGGACAGACGACACACTTTAGAAAATTATCAGCTTTTTTAATTTTGAGAAACTGCTTTCATGATGAAAACTGGAATTCGATTTATTGACATTTGAAAGGACCAAAATTACCATGAGAGTGACGTTCATTAACAAATGGGCTAAAACAATTGAGGAGACCCGGCCGCCAATCTAACCACGACTTATTAATAAGACAAAATATATTCATACTTTTAATATGTGGAAATTCAAATTGGAAAAAAGATATTCATTTTCTTTTAGCCGTAATCTTATCGCATAATTCATGTTGATATTTCCATTATTTCAAATTTAAAGCGTCGTGACAAGCCAACCATCTTTCATGAGAACAGATAAAATGTAAATTCCGCTTCAGCTATTTAAGATATGACAGATCATTCCCGCATTATTTACAGAAGAAGATGGAAGCTCTCCAAAGAGGCAGGGAGGTATTGACTGTCCGATTTTTCGTGTAGATTTTTAACAGACGCAGGGGTAAGCACGAACACCATACTCAACACAATTGTATAATTTTCTCAATAATAACAAAAATGATTTAATTTTTTGGTCACTCGGCAAAGGAAGAACTAAGAATAAAGCATTGATTATTGAAATTTTTCTTCACGGAAACAGGACCAAACGTACAGAACAAATCTTCAACTTAGTGAAGCATTTAGCTGATACAATCTATTTTTAAACTCACCTTCCGAAAGAACCAAATAAATTGCAATCGTGAATAGAAAAAAAATGCTGATCAGTTGTTCCACCATAAGGAAAAATATTCCTCCAAGTATCAGCAATAAAACTATTTTACACAGTTCTTCAGTGGTTTGAATTCTTTCCTGGCAAAATACGAGCAGAACAGTTTGTTTCTCCAATATACGTCCCTTTGCACTCACTGAGGATATGCCGTGATGACAACAGGTCTTTATGATTAAGGCAACTTGTTTTAGAAATGATGTTGCGTTTGTCGTGTTTTATCATTGATCGATGTTCGCTTTCCTGGCGGGAGTTTAAAATTAGGAATGTTGAATGGCAGCTCAGGGCATTGTTATCACAAATCTCACAAAATAAAGAGAAAATTCTACGAAAGCTACTGAATAACATTTAGAGGTTAATCTATTATACACGAAACGGATAAAAGACACGGATAATGGCGCCGTATAAGCAGTCACTTGTCAAAGTCCCAAATATGTTTCTTCTTAATCACTGTAATAATTTTCACCTCTATTAAGCGGTCACTTCAATTAGACGATCGCAGTCACCCTTTACAAAGTCCGGTTTTACCGTCCTTCACCTGTATTTAACGATTACTGAAAGTGGGACTGTTCAAATGAAACTAAGAATAATCTTTAAAGTTATTTTGAATGCATGTTTCTCGCCCAAAATCAAAGTAAGTAGTATTTTCGAGCGAAATTCTGTACATTAAGTGGTCAATGATGTATTTAGCGGTCAACCCGCCATTCCCACTGTAAAAAATTTTGACCGTAAAAAATTTCACAAATGAAAACTAGCTCACTAAATTGAAATAATATATTCATTCTGAAGAGCTCGCTCTGAGAACTCCAAGCCCAACATGGACCCCCAACAGAACAAATATCTGCATTTCTGACTAATTCGAGACTTTATTTTTCCAGTTCAAACAATAGCTGCCTAATCAAACTTTCAAAGAATATCAGGTCAAAGTCGCTTATCTCGAGGTGGGCTTGAAGTTTCATGTAGAGTAATGTTTAAAGATTTTTATCTCAGGGTAATTTGGTATTATCAACTAAGTTAATGGCGTAAATTGGCCACCGTAAAGAGTTTCAAAGCTGAAGTTTCGAGCGTTAGCCCCTCGTCAAAGCGATGGAGGAATTGTGGATTTTTATTTCAGTCATTTTGTTCAAATCGGCTCTAATACTCCCAGCTGGTTTTTCATAATGATAGGCCCCCTTATACCCTCCATTGAGAAAAAGAAAACTATAACATAAAACACGTTAAGATAATATTCCTAAAAGGATGCTACACAAATGGTTACGCCGAAAAATTTTTGCTCCATGTTCAGTACAAATTATGCTTGTGTTTATAAAAACCTCTGTTTTGATTTGTGTTGGTTTTTCAATCAAACAAATGTATACTATGTACGATATTCACTGCAGCTAAGCCATAATTCACAGAAACATAAATTACTTCAATTCTATTTTTCAAAACGTTAATTAAACAACCCCCACCATCAGATCATGACCTCGTCTAGCAGCCAAGCGAGAACTTAAGGTTTTCAGAGCGTTTACGACAACTAAGGATAAATGGAGTCACAATTCTATTTAATAATATTTATAAACACAGAGGTCAAACGTCTGCGAATGTACCAACGTATTATCCATTATGCTTTTAGGCCGTTGGAGCTCAGTGGTATCGATAAAAGCCATTTTAGCAGTAGACATTCCACGAGGTGGCTCTTCTTTCCACTGTTTCCATTGGAATTAAGAATGTTTGTTCTTGTGGAGGAAGGAAAACCGGAGGACCCAGAGGAAACTCTCGGAGCAACGACAAGAACCAACAACAAACTCAACCCACATGTCTAATATCATAATAGTCATTATTTTTCTTCTGTGGCTCTCTTCAGTTTGGGAAATATAATCAAACTGATCCTTTGTTTTGCTGGCCGAAAACAACAGTTCGGCAGCCAGCTCTTTGCATGCCACCCGTCAAACACTTTCGTTTGCTTATGTCTTCTTGTGAAATAGCCATCCACTGAGAAAATATATCAACGTTATTTAATAATTGGAAGTGTAGCTTCACAACAATCCTACATAAGAGACTCCTGCTCCATGCAAGAGCCGATTTCAAACTCTTTTTTGCATTGAACAAGAAATTGGAATAGAAATATCACGTGTCCTCAAAGCAGGTGTAATACATTCTCTGTAAATTTTGGTCAAATCGACTTAAAAAGGTTACAGACATCTTCAAGTTATTCTCAGGCATCTTTTTGACACGCATTCGGTATAGAAAGGACAAGTCAAAGAGGGCGCCAAGTAAAGAGAGATGAAATTTATTTCACACACTTTATAGAACTCTACCCTAAAGAACTATCACTTACAGTTGACAGAAGTAACTAATTAAAGCAAGTGCAATACATGCTGAAAGAACGACATTTCTCATGAAGATTACTCTTTTTATTATGCAAAGCCTTGATCAAGCCCTCTAAATATGCCAAATATAAAAAATTTCTAGCATGAATGGTTAAATACCGTCAGAGGAGTTTCCTGTTGCCCTACCGATGGTTTTATCTACCTTCAGTCAAGTCGAAACCGCCGCGAGCCATCGATCGGCAACCACCACGCACTAGCACGCACCTATTTCTAATTATCACGTACGAGAGTGCAGTTTGCGTCAGTTTCATTCCATTGAACGTTCTGGGCTCAGAATAAAGAAATGGGAAGAGAAGAGAGAAAATACAGCTCTGATTCAAATTATCAAGCGTAAACCGCTCTGTCCAGCTTTTTTGTTATGTTTTCAGGAATGAGTTAGGGCCTTAAAATTTTAACCAGCAGCAGTTAAAAGTCTAAGACGACCGTTTAAGATAGTCAACAATAAGTTAGGATTTTATATCCGCAAATTAAATGTCATCTAGGTCACTGCACAAAAACAACTGTGAAAAACTTCAGTCCTTGAAATGTTTTGAACTCATATTCACTGTTGCTGAAAGCCAAAGACTGCAACGGGGAAAGGAATTTATGTGACAAATAGCTCGAGGCCTCAGAGCAGCTGTGATCCTTTCGCTGTAATTATTCGTCAAATTTGAATTAATGTATCACAAATAAGTCCAACTTTTTTTAGAAGGGCATTCATTGAGAACAACTCTTGGATCTCTAGCGACAGGGAAAGTCAAAGACACTACAAAGTTAAGGTAGGTGCATTTAATTACACGTATTACAAACCTTCTACCTTCAAGGACAATCATTTGGTGTAAGCATCAAAATTACATCGTCTTTCATCATATTCCGATTGGAGTAGTCGCTAACTGAAGAAACTAAAGTAAATATAATAACCTGCTGAGAGAATATCATTTCTCATAAATTTTACTCGTATAATTCTGCAAAGTCTTGATCAGGCCTCCTTTAATATTCTAAATGAAAATTCTTAAAAAAGGACGAACTGTTTTAAAGTTAAGTTTCATTCCTGACGTGCTTGTGATATCTGAACTAGTTCGACGGCAGGTTAAACAAACGACTAAGGATACAGTATCCTTAAAAACAAGATTTGTGTTTCAGCCTCTAACTTTTTCCACAGTACCGGCTGGCACAAACTTGGACCGGTTTCAGTCTGTATACTAAGAAAGAGCTGCAATTGCGTACGTTGATCATAATGTTGTGGTAACAACATTTACCATAGCCATGAAAACAAACTTTTCTAGAAACGACTCCTTCATCAACTGTTGGATGTGCTCCGTCCATCCACCCCGGCAAGTCCGTTCCACATCTATGGTGCGGTAGACAGTGAGTAGGTATACTCGTTCCAGCCCCCGCTGAGAATCTGTACCAGTCTTCTGTCAAATGGTTGTCACATTTTCTGTCACCACGACCAAAATCGCTGTGTCGATCGGAGTCATTCAGAATCTTTTGCTGATTGCATTCTGAGGGAACTAAAAATGAAAATGTATTGGAATACTCAACCATGTGGCTTTATCAAAGGCGAAATGTTCTGATATATTATAAAAGATGGTGGAGGCGAGGACATTGGCAAAGAAAACATTTTTTTTTTTGGAGGGGGGTGAAGGGAATTTGAAAAATGATGGGTTTATATTTCCTCATATTCAGAGTCGCTCAAAACCTTATACTGATGACGTTCTGAGATACTTGAACATTACAGGTCCTTCGAAACATTCATGCACCTGATGATATAACGAGAGTAAAAATTTAAACAACTGTCTCGGAGAATAATTGTTCCAAAAGACAACAACAGTGAAGACAACAATATATCTGTTATTCCATTACTGCATCAATTAATCAAATAAATTCAAGAGGACCCGCAAAAAATATGCCACGATAATAAATGGTATTATACTGTAGAACAGGGCAAAAATACAGAGCAACACAGGTTGATTTTTTCTTTCTTGCGTTTGTTAGGCTTGACTTGTAAAGAAGTGAACTTTTACGCGCGACAGAGTTTTTAGTTGGTCACATAAAACACTCAAATGGTTTCGTTCGTGTTGTTTCGTCATTCGTGTACTCCTTATGCGATCGATATGATGCACAGATAAGGCCGCACGATATATTTTGCAATCTAAAATCGAATGAGTGAAATAATAGTGGGATAATAAATCCCTTATTCGATGGTTTAACAAATAACACGAGAGGACATTTTTCTCATTTCTCGTATTTTTCTACACAACTTCTACGTAAAATACCACACAAGTCGCAAAAACGACGGGACGTCCTCGTCTCCAATGCAATGTGGAGAACGCACACGAAAGTAATTAACAGTAAACAGCCGTTACGAGCATATTGTCGGCTCTAAATTTTAATCCCAGAATTCCCTTGTTTCAATTACATGCATGACGTAATGTGACGATAGTGTCACACGACACTACAATCTTTAATTTACCTGGAGATGGACAGATGCTCCGTTTACGACTGAAACCGAAGCATCTGTTTTCACCTGTCCACACTAAAAAGGAGCGTTTTAAAACGGTGCGTTTTCAAAAGACTCCACTTTTGAAACCGCTTTCGAAATTTCCCGTTTGTATCAAAGTATTCGGGCGTTTAAGTATGGATGACCGGCGAAAATACATCAAGAAGTATGCGTTTTCAAACAAAAACGCAGTAGTGTGACACGGGCCTAAATTTACCATGGTCTGTCTAATTATATGAAATAGTTATTTGTGCAAACTGAAAATGTGAGTTACCGTATTGACATAGAGGTCCAGTGAGGCCTGCAGCACAAGGAAGGTGATGTCTCTGACGGAAAAATACAAATATCACAAACAAAATATGATCTTCCCACCAGCTGGACAAATTTGTGTTTCCGAAGTGAAACCCTGATAAAGTAAAAACATGTAAAGGTTACGGTTTTTAAATTTGGACTAAAACACGTGAAGAGAAACCAAGTTTAAAGGTTTAACGGTTGAACAGGACAGACTTAGAATTCTTAGTAAACCGTCACATACCCCCCCCCCCCCCCCCCCCCCCCCCCCAAAAAAAGACAATATCCAAAAAATCCCCAGTCCGTCAAGTATTCACGGCAGCCATTTCCAGCAGCATTACAAAAATTGATAAAAGGAAAACTTTCCAGCTTCTTACACGTTGTGCAAGACGTAAATTAAAGACCTATGTACCTTCACGAGCAAAGAGAATGTCACCCCTTTTTCATCATCAAGGTTTGTATTCTGATCGACGTATCCATGTTTGTTTAGTTCACAAATTCCTTTCTTGTTCACCTCGGATAGCTCTCTGAAGTTTGTTGAAGTACACCAGGAGTTCCTGAGGCACCAGTGATTGCATGACATAAAACTGGGCGATTGAAACTGCTTAACGACATGACCATTAAGCCGAGTATTTTCTCGCGTTTTAAAGAGAGCCGAATTAGTAGAAGTGGCGTGTTCTGTAAACATTATTCCTTGAACAATGATAAAAAAGGCAATTTTCCTTTCACCCATTACTCGACAAAACATGCGCAAAGTGAATCGTGACTTAGAGGGAAATTCAAGCATCCTTTTCGTCCTTAACTAGGCAAAACTCAACATATCAAACTCTTTCCCCAGCGCGACGAACATTTGTTTTTCTCGGTTCCAGGTGTACGCGACCACTAACCCTACGTAATGCGCATGCTCTCCGTTGCGAATTTTCAAAATGGCGGACAGGTCAAAGAGGGAAATAAAAAAAGCAAAGCGATTTTGCAATAAAGAAAGCAATAAGAAAGGCGAATCCACGATAGAAAGATACAAAATTGTATGATATTGAGATCAGGGAGGTTGACAAAATCAACAAGAGAGGTTGAAAATTCATTACGTTGGCTATAGCACATGCTTCGATGAATGGACACCCTTCAGGGCCGATAGAGGATCTGGATATTTTCCGTTTGTTCACAGCGAAAAGCTGTTCATTCCCTCGGAAAACTCTCTAGAGGATAGAAAAGAATCGTTCCATGGTCAACTTACTCGTGAAATAAAGAAAAAGCTTTGGTCTGGACGGCGAGAGGGCCCTGATTTAACAAATAGAGAAGCCTTGACTGTGCTCTGTTCTGTTATAAAGCACGCAGGAAGCGGCTAGAGCACGAAAGAAGTGTAGGGAGAAACACGAGACGTAGTCGAGTGTTTCTTCCCACTTCTTGAGCTTCTTGAGAACAGAGCACAGTCAAGGCTTCTCTATATGTTTTATAATAAAGAATCCGTTAAATTACCCAAGCAATACTTTCAATTTTCAAAACAAACTTTATTTCCAAAGCGAACAACAATGTCGTCAGCATGCTCTATACTCTCATAAAGCACGCTACAATAAGCCAATCAGAATCCTTGTTAGAATGGTTCAAGTAATCTGATTGGCTGTACAAGACTAAAGCTGTCAAAAGTGTCAAACCATTAAAGTTCAAAAACCATCAAAGTTCACATTCTACGATAGTTTACAAACCAAAATAGTTCTGCAAGTCGAATTTAACACTTTTGCCTGAAGTTTTTAAGTCTCTAATATAGAATCTCGAAGTGAAATGTTCAGTGAAATTCAACCGAATTATGGCTCATAAAAACACGCGAGTTTTTTCCACATGACAAGGTAGAAAACAAGCTGTTCAAGGCGAGTGTTTTTTGAATGAAAGACAGCTGAATTCACCGGAACATGAAGATCGCTCGTGATGACAGCGCCGCAAAACTCGGCTGCAGTGACTGATGTGAATTGCCACTCAACGTATCGGAAAGGATATCAGAGCAAGCTCTTATTTTTTCACTCGAAGGGCGGCCGATGTAGTTTCTGAGGCTTGCTTTACTGTGATGACCGGAGATCGCCATGATGAGCGAGCCGCGATGAACTTAGCATGATCATATTCGCTCAGACACCGTTATGATTAGTATGAATTTTAACAATTATGCCAGTTTGGTTATATTTTTCATCATTTCTGTTTTGTACTGTTTTGTTTTTGAACACTGAACTTTATATACTATATGAGTGTTAGCTGTGTTTGATTTTTATTACCGTACGTAAGCTTGCAATCTAACTGAGCGTGAAAATCTTTAAAACTCGGAATGTTTATTTTGTTTTTCCTTTGAGGATTTTCCTATCTGCTCACATTTAAATAACGTAAATTATGGCGCATGGTATGTTTACAAACCTTTGTTTGATTCTTCTGTTGCTATTTGCCGGCTCGCTTCAGTTCCGAAATTTCACTTTCAATTATCGGGAAAAAGCTAAAAAGAAGTCCCGGAAAAGGTCGAACATAGTACAATTTGGCAGATGGCGTGACAGCTTTAGCTCAGTTCTATGCTCTATACTCTCATAGAGCACGCTCTTTCAACCAATGACAGCGCGCGTTATATCCGAACTTTATTATAAATAAACATAGACCTTAATGTTGACCAAGATATTTTCATGGAAGGTCTTGGGAGTGTTTTGCCCGGCGTTCTTCAAAGAGGGAAGATGGTTTACCAATTGGAGTCAAATAGGGTTCTTGATTCATATCTAGGGCTGAAGTGGGATGAAAGAATTTTAAATGTAGCTGAAGATTTTGCCTATGTAATTCCAGGAACTATTAAGTATTGGCTGGGACAAAGAAATCCAATCATTGAATACAAGCTCATCGTTGCAGGTGTTCTTAACCCTTTCATAACCTGCTGCCTCCAGGAACTGAATCCTGTTTTTCTTCAGAAACAGTTGTTTGAGGGCATCAACCCCTTTGTGATTTGTGGATCTGAAGAAATCTTTAGAAGCTCTACTATTGTATTTTTCCAAGCCTTGCTGTGTGTAATATGCTATGTTCTGATAAAGTGACAGGAACTCAGGAACATGATAACATAGTGCATGCATGTAGGGAGTGACATCTTTTGCTTGGTAAACTTTGAGAAAGTGCTCAAACCATGATTTGATATTTCTTTGCAGTTCAAGAATACCCTCTTCAGATGTAAAATCTAGCTTCAAATCACCAATTATGTCCATAGATTTAGCCCAGATCACTTGTATGTCTTTGTTTTGACTGCAATGAGGGACAAGCATAGGTCGGAATGTTTATATTCTGAAAGAGTTTCAACTTTTCTGGTTCAGTAAGATCTCTTATAATATTCCAGCTTTTTGCTCTCTTTGTTGATTCTAAAATTAAAAGTGATTCCAATACTTTTGATAAATTCTTCATAACATGCCATGTGTTTATATTTATCCCTTGGGAATCCATCAGAGGTTTTTTTTTTTTTTTTTTTTCTCAATAGCATCACTTCTTCTCAGCTCTCTTATGAACAAGTCAATCAAAACATCTGAAATCCTCAGAAAAAAATGTAATGTATCTATGATGACATGGTCCATAGGTATAAAATCAAATAATGGTTGTGCCTTACAGTTTAATTTCTTTCCAGTGGAAAACCTTGCTATTTTGGTGACAGTTTTAGCACCAAATTTGGGGTCATTAATTGACCATGTTTTGCTTGTGTCCCACTGTTGCTCCCTGGGACACTTGCACCACACACAAGCATAATCCTCATTTGCCCTGCCTAAACCACATACCAGTGCTAAAAATTTCAAATCTCCACCTAAAAAGTATTCAATTTTATAGGTGCAATTATTTGCACTTATCTCCTTTAAGTTTGACATTTCCATTCGAAGGTCTGCTAGGCTGTCTCTCAGATTATCATATGTCTCTGTAGTTTTTATAACAGCAAGTATATAATTTCCCTTCACACCCATTGCCACATCCTTTTCATGGAGAATAGTAAAAGTGAAGTTGACAACTGTAAGCCCCTTTCCAATATTTGTACCATCACCACTAAGCTTGATCTTAATAGTTTCTCCATCATTTGATTTCTCCATTCTTCTGAAGCCTAACAATGTGCTCTTGCAAGCTTTCTGCAAATCCTAACTGAACACCTTCAGCATCTCCTGGTGTTGGTTTCAAGTTCCATTCACTGTTTAGCTCATTAATTTGCTTCTTGATGGAATATATATTGGGGAGATCATTAGCCTTAATGGCAATTTCATGCCAGGCCTCATTTGAAATAATGAATTTATCTTTGAGGTAGAGCCACATATTTATGTTATCAATGTCATCATTATTAAGGGCCTTTGGGTCAGACTCTGTAAATGGCAGCTCTCCCTCTCCAACAAGATTGAAAGTTTCATATTGATTGACACCGGTGTTGAGGACTTCAATTTTGGTTGCAACAAAATTGTACAGCCCAAGAAAGGAGAGTGTAGTTTAGCACTCCTCCTTCTGTTGGTTTTTAATTCTCTTTTGATGGTGCTTAGAATAGTCATTAAACTTCTTCTTAGCTGGGTCTCTACCTTTTTTCCCATTTGTAATCACTTTTTTGGCCAACTGAATAAATTTTTTATTGTAGAAGGCCCCTTTCTTCTCAGCTTTCTCGAGAGCTTCTCGGGCTTTTTTATCCACTCGCAATCGCTTTGTCTTCTCCTGTACCAACGATTCTTCTAATTCTATTTTTTCTCCCCTCAACTGGCTGTTCTCATCTTTAAGCTGATGTACATCAACCTCGTTGTTATACACCTTAAATCGATACCGAGGGCCCGTTTCCAAATTGCTAAGTAGTGCATTTAATTGCCACGATACTAGCTTTCTTGACAGCTTTCTGAAAACAGAATATTTTCTTTCTGAAGACTTCTGATATATGGCTATTGATTATTATACCTCGTATACCTTATTGCTCAAACACTTTGTTTACAATTATTGAAAGGACCGACTCATGGTTTTCTCTGAAAACTTCTTTGCTTTGAAATAGTATAGATTAGTAAGCTGAAACGAAAAATTAATTAGGGAAGTTTACGAAAAATCCAGCGAACAAGCTTAAAAAAGGCATTTATTTAGACTTCATACTGCGATGAACTTCGCAAATCTTACTTGTTTATCTCGTAAGTAAACAATGGCAGATTAAAAAATCAAAAGAAGGAAGATACAGCTGTTTTGAAACGCCATTTGGCGAGAGTAAATCTGCTTTTTGTTCGACACTTTACATATCAAAAAAAAAGAAATTTGTTCCTCTTTTTGATTCTGGCGGTACATTTTTAAATTGCGCTTGCGTAAAAGGGATATCGCCCGAGACGCTTCGCTCGGTTGTGTTTTGAACAAAAACGCCTTGTTAATTTCACGCAACCGCTCGGAGAAAAGGTTAAAATGACGAGGGAAAAACTTTACCTTCAAGTTAGAAAATTAGCGAAATAGGAAGCCACAATATTATAGTTTAATATTTCAGAGGTACATTGAGTGCTTTTTCCGTAGAGAATCCCCACGATGGTAAAATGTTCGAAAATTACACTCGATTTGAGTGGGGCGTTGAAGTGGGCGTGGTCACTGTATTCATGTTAAGACTATTTGTACCCCGTGAGTTTGATATGGAAATGCGAGGGGGCAATTTGCCCATTCCTGCTAACAGGTGTTCACCATCCTACGTCTGAGAAAATTAAGAGAGACATTTCACCACACAGAAGCGTTTTAATTACAATATCCTTGACATGCAATATTTTCAAATTAATAATTAAGTTTGTTCCGTCATTCCACGTTTAAATTTTGTATTCAGCTTCTTGTCGTCAAGCAGCGCTATTCTCTTTCAATTACGGTGATGTGTTTTCTCATCAAGTGCATTTCACAAAGAGACTCGAGAAAGCAAGAAGGAATGGAGTCTTTTATTTAGGAAGAGGATGATGGAGAGTTTAAAAGCATTTTGTAAACCTCTATGTGAATATTAATAATAATAATATGATAACAATAATAAATAATGGGAATTTAGCAGTGGACATTCCACGAGGTAGCGCTTCTTTCCACTGTTTCCATTGGAATTTAAAATGTTTGTTCTTGTGGAGGGAGGAAAACCGGAGGACCCGGAGAAAAACTCTCGGAGCAACGACAAGAACCAACAACAAACTCAACCATTATTTGTGTTAGTCACAACATGAAACTCATGATTTATTGAAGAACGCGACTCATTTTTGGCTCACGTCAACCCATCCGGCCCCACACATGTCAGCTTCATTATGGTTTTCAATGGGATTGTGAGTCAGAGCAATGCCCCAAAGGTCATACAATAAAAGTCATTATTTTCCTTCTGTGGCTCACTTCAGTTTAGCAAATTTAATCAAACTGACCCTTTGTTTTGCTGGTAGAAAACAACAGTTCGACAGCCAGCTCTTTGCATGCCACCCGTTAAAACGCTTTCGTTTGCTTATGTCTTCTTGCAATAGCCACCCAATGAGAAAATATATCAACGTTATTGAATAATTGGAAGTGTAGCTTCACAACAATCCTACATAAGAGATTCCTGCTCCGTGCATGGGCCGATTTCTAACTCTTGGAAACTTACACATGGTTTGATGCTACTCTGGTTTACAGATTTAATGAATGTAACCGAAGAAGTTACAATTCATAGACCCAACGTTTCGACACTCCTGTCTAGTGCCTTCATCAGGGGTAATCTAAACGCTGCAACAAGAGGTCTTTTCATATGATCACTAATTAGCGGCCTTTTTTCTGACAAGATGTAAATAAGCGTCAAGAAGCAAACCGCCATCGTCATGATTTAAAGGAGCGTGGGCGGAGTTAATATGCCAAGCCTCCAAACAAAGGCGCTAGTGGTAACGCCGATTGGTGGTGATAATTTTAGAATTATCCCACCCAATTGTATGGTTAGTTAGGCATGTGTGCTCCGATAAAGCTGAATTTTCCTTTTTGCAAAAGAAAACCGCTTTTTGATGCTCTTTCAAACGTGTACCAAACTGACGTTTGGTCTGTCCGATGTATTCGTTGTCACAGTCATTGCAAGGAATAGAATAAATGGCGTCGGTTCGTTGTTCTTTCGTGACAGGATCCTTAGGTTTGGCAAAAATATGTCCCAAAGTCTGAAAAGGTTTTTGGGCAACTTTAACGTTGTGGCTATTCAAAATTCTCTTGATGGGTTCCGTAACACCCTGAATGTAAGGAATAACAGCAAAACCAGTCCCTGGTTCCATTACATCGAGAGCGTTACTAGTTGTAACTGGTTTTTGGCAGTTACAGAGAAAGGTTTTTGTATAGCCATTT